CCCTTACGTTTGTCAGGAGGGGGGGGGGGGGTTGTATTGGACAACCTACAATCTCTAGGATCCTACGGACGTCTTGTGCAACTAGAACTCTTTCAGAATCTCTTCTTGTATCTACCTCTTAGAGTCCTTGTATAGATATACCATTGTATTTCAAATATTATGTAGCGATTGAATGCAAATTGAGAAAAAAAGTTTTTCCATTCCATAGTTTCCAGTCATGTGTCTTACTTAATAATATGAATACTAATTAGCTTAGTCATGTTAATAACATTTAAATTAGAATATATACGTTTGTAAGAGTCTATTGGCCCTATTAGAGAATCTTACGTCAATTTCTTTTTGTCAGATATTAGCCCTATGATGGACGTTTTCTCAAATCTTTTTTTTCTCATCCCTCTTGGTTTGGGGACAAAAAATACTTTTTCTCGAGTAGGATACCTAGGAAATATAGAGGACTTTTACGACTTTTTTATTTAATTTAAGGATTCATATAGCTGCCCCTACTTATTTAAGATTGAGATATAGTTATTGTTGTCGTATTAAATCTTAATTTCCTCATTAGAAGAGGATAATTTAAACTCTACCAGAGACCAGAATGGAAGAGCAACAAAATTCCTGGAGCATTTCCTAAATAACAAAAGTTTCGGGGTTCATTTTCTAGAATTCCAAAAATTTGTCAAATGCCAAATCTAAGAAACAGCTCCATTTTCATTTCCACGAAATTGTTGCAACAATTTTAGAGAGAGAAAACTCATACCATTTTCAGAGATCAGGCGAAATTCTAAGGGCATTGGATTTGAATATTCGATATGGATTTTAACCCAGTAAGTTTCTTTGTTTATCTCTTTTTTTCCACCTAATTTACAATCATGTGTCATTATCAAATAATAACTTGAAATCATTGCCTTGAGGCTAGGGTTTTGTTTGAGTTCGTAGCTCTTCAATTAAGATTAATTGATCTGTTGATTTAATCCTTTTTTTTTTTCCTTTTGTTTTTCGATCTGGTTGGGAATTGAAAATTCTCATTCTAGTGAATCCATCCTTGAATTGTATTATCGATCTGGAAGATATAAAATTTGTTCCTATTGGTTACTGCAAATTTTGGGGAAATAATCGGCAAGAATAATTGCCCAGAAGAATTGTGAAATAATACTCCTGCATATCATAGGGTGCTTATAACAATAATAACAAGAAGTACGCCTCAGTAGCAAGTTGGCATCGGCTATATATGAATCCTTAATTCTTTCTTTAAGCTCAATTCATATCATCCTCATACCAAAATAAAATAAAAGTGAAAGTGAAAAGGAAGGTGTGCTTAACACCAAACTGGTATAGAAGTACTCATTCCCTTAACGGCCGGTAAACAAATATAAATGGACTAATAAATATAGAAGGATACCCATTTTATCATATCTTATCTAAATCTTATTGTAGTACATCGAGCTGTCCTATTACTCTTTTATGTTCAAGGTCTTAGTGAGTATTACAAGCAGGCAAAGTGAGTTTAACCTGCTACTTTGGTCTCAGATGTCATATGTAATATAGTTATGGCCATAGGACTATTTCAAGATATCCCCTCAATTGATCTACTTAGAGATTATAGACTATGTTCTCTTGACATATATTTTCTACACTGGATCAGCTGGTTGAGTGGCCTTTTATTTTGTGCTAGGATACATGAATCATTTTTCTCCGAGAAGATTTTGGTTGAAAAGGTATTAAAGGTCCATGTGGAATTAAAAGTGATCATTGACATGTTCAGTTCAAAATATGGCCTAAGTACTGAAAAGATAACTAAATATATTTTCTATCATCTGTATCTTTATATATGCAACATTAATACATTTTTTAGAGCAGTTTGTGTCTTTGGAAAGTGTATCCTTTTGCTTTGTTCCCTCTGTGTGTGTGTGTGTATGTGTGTGTGTGTGTGTGTGTGTATCAGTAAGTTTTAGGATGGGATGTAAGTTTGGTGAGCTTTAGACAAATTAGATCAAGATAAGTAGTTGACTGCGTATAATGATAGAAAAAGAAGCTTTTGTTCTGCTGCAGTGAGAGATAAATGAAAAATGTGGTGAAATAAAAGGATGTTGGTTGGCTTAACTCATGCCAGATTTATTTGTATATACTTTTTTTGTTAATAGGCTGAAGTATCCCATTATATAGATTTTTGTTGATTTGATTCGTGCTGCCGTATTGTTAGTTTGTTGGTGCAACTTTGAACTGTACCACTTGGATTATATTTCATATTTGTTTATTTATTTATATACTCAAACAATAGGATTTTCCAGGGTGCTAACTGCTAATTATGCAATTGTAGCGTCAATAACGTTATGATAATTTGAATGCTATTTTTGGCGTCTATAGACTTTCTGATAGTTTGAATATGCTATTTTTTGGTGTCTATAAGTACTGCATATTTGATTCCACCCGTAAAATCATTATTATTTCCAATGTTTAAGTTTCAGTAAGAACTTCTTACTGTTGATACGATATCCTATATCAAAATTTTATGTATGGATGATGCAGCCGTTAATCGAAATGAGTGGGCATAGAAAGTCTGAAGACGGCATTTTTAATATTAAACATTAATTGTCTTTTTAACATAGCTGCATCTCTTTTAGGGAGACGGCTAATCTTCCTGCTTTGTTCTATTCTCAAGTAACATGTGAGCTTCGCACCGGTTTCACATCCAGATAAAGAAAGGAGATTGCGGTAGATTTATGTATTTTAAAAAAGTGATGATATGATAACAATAAAAAAAAGGTGATAATATGATAAATTTTCAAATATTGGAACTCCTAATTTGCTTTAGAAAACAAAAGAATTTTTTGAAATGAGATGGACTCAGGTATTGCAAAATATATGTAGAAGACTTGTATAGCCGATCATATTAGTTTGGGAATGAAGCTTAGTGATTGTTTTGTGTAAAAGATATTGTTGTGTGTGTATATTGATGCAACTTTGAAAATGGAACCTCTAGATGTGCTATTAATGTTGGATGTCAAGTAAGTCCCACTATACAATGCTAGCTACATGATCGGTGTGGTTAAGTTTTAGTTTGGTGTCATAAGAGGTATAACTAGCCTACATAGAGGATATAGTTAAAGAGGTTGCTTGAGATGGTTTGGTAGTGTTCTATGTAGATTCCAAATGCACCGGTTGAAGCTCTTAAAAGGGGAATAAGTAGGCCTAAAATCACATGGATGAAAGTTGTCTCAAAAGGCATAATCTCTTGAACTTCATGTAGACTTTAGAGTAAAATAGACATGATGGAAGCATAAGATCCATATAGGAGATACTAGCTAGTCGGAATCAAAACTTAGCCATGTTGATATACTTACATTAGGTCCAACATTTACAGTAGTTTTTTTCTTTGTTCAGATACTCGTATGTCAGTAGAAGAAAATATAGAGAATTCTAGTGGTAGATAATCCCGGACTATTGAATATTGGAATGAACTTGGTCTGAATGTAGTGAAACTGTGAATTGTGAAACAGATCTGTATAGTCAATCCCAACTTCCGCCGGATTGAGTCGTAGTTATGGTGTTGTCGTAATTTTTGAGTTCATTCTGGTTTGCTCATCCTCCGGATGGGAAGGGCAATAGATGATCTAGGAGAAGCAATGTAGGTGAAAAAAGGTTAATTTATTAATACATAGTACTCATAGCTTAGAGGAGCTTGTGCCTCTGGTTACTTTACTTTCCTCTGTTACTTGGAGTATTTAAGATAACCCTCCCTCCTTGTTTCTTTCTTTTACTACCCTCATTGCTCTAGCTCTTACACCCTAAACACTCTACGCCGCAAGGAATGGAGGGAAGCACATAGAAAATGTTGATCTTTTCTGTCATAATGCTAATTACACTACCTTTAACATAATAGATGATCTAGGAGAAGCATGTAGGTGAAAAAGGTTGATTTATTAATACATAGTACTCATAGCTTAGAGGAGCTTGTGGCTCTGGTTACTTTACTTTCCTCTGTTACTTATTTTTGATAACCCTCCTTCCTTGTTTTCTTTCTTTTCTACCGTTGTTGCTCTACCTCTTACAACCTAAACACTCTCCGCCGAAAGGAAAGGAGGGAAGCACATAGAAAATGTTGATCTTTTCTGTCATAATGCTAATTACACTATCACGTTCTTTCCCAGCCTGCAGGGGAGGACTATGCGCACCCACAGATATGCTTTTTTCATGTGCTCTTCAAGGTGCAGCTTATGATAGTCTTCTTCTTATTTTAATGTCTTATAAATTGTATTTACTTAACACATTTCCTTTGCATTGACAGGCAGCAGCACTAGCGTTTTATATTCTGTCAGCTCTATTTGTTGATAGTTTTGTTATCATCTTTGTGATAACTGTTCTTTTAGCTGCTCTTGACTTTTGGGTGGTTAAGAATGTGAGTGGGCGTATCCTGGTGGGTTTAAGATGGTGGAATGAAATAGATGATAATGGCGAGAGTGTGTGGAGATTTGAGTGCCTTGACCAAGAGGTGCGTAATCTAGTCTCAGGTTCCGTGGCAGACTTCTTGACCTTCAGATGTAGGTTTATTTTAGAAGTACTCGCGCATTTGGTCTTATTGATTGATTAACTTTTTATTGGCTGGGACATACCTTTGTCCTTCACTTTTCCTTTCAGTCAATGGCTCGTATGAACAAGAAGGATTCCTGGCTGTTCTGGTGGACTTTGTACCTAACAGTAAGTGAAGACTCTATCGCACTGACTGCTTATTCTAAAGTTCAACATAAACAAATTGAACATGTGTATTGAATAATCAGAAGAATTCAAGAAAAATCGGCAAAAAACATAAGTTTGAATATGAACGATGGCCGTTCACACCTTGGCTTCTTGTTTTCTGTTTTCAGCTTTTATTATTCCAGGATTCAAACTACAAAAGCATATTGTAGCATATGTTATAGGGCTTATTTTTGGTTTTTATCTGTACCTTATTTTGCAAAGTGATATGGTTATCCATTGATGTGTTGTACCTGATATGTGTACTTTGTTGTAGGCTGTTGCTTGGTTCTTTCTCGCGATATTCTCCCTCATTAGATTCCAAGCTGACTATCTTCTCGTTGTTGGAGTTTGCTTGACTCTCAGCGTCGCAAATATTGTTGGTTTTACTAGATGTCGCAAAGGTGCGTACTTACTGTAACTTCTGTAGATTCTGCGCCTAACAATATCATTACCGCTGGAGTTTTACTTTGTTTTGGTGTTCCAACTTTCATGCAAGAATATAATATGACGCTAGATTTTGTTGGGTTCCCTCATTAGTTTGTCTATCTTGGATTGGTTTCTATCTTGCCCTGCTTGTTTCAGTTTTTCCTATTTTGTTTTCCAATATGCCTTACTTGTTAATCTTCATAGAATATTTTTCTGAAATCCAGATGCTAAGAAACAGCTCCAAGCATTTGCAACCCAGACTCTTACTTCTCGATTCTCCTCTACACTACAGTCGGCATTTAGTGTTGTTTGACCCATTTATACGCAACAAGCTAGTTATGGAAGGAAACTGTTCGTCATTGTCCACCACTACGAACAATCATGTATTGACATGGTCTTTTCTCAGACTTCTCCTTCACTGAGGCTTGTATATGTAGAATATATGAACGAACTTGAAAAACATTTTTGTTCTCTTCAGTTTTCACGAATTAAATTGCTTCATTGTTTTCTGTTTAGACTGTTTTTAGCTCCGCTGTTGAATAGGTCAACAGGTGGACTCTAGCGTCAACGAATTTGTTATAATAGTGAACCTTTTCTTCTGTATGAGTCGATATTATTTGCAATTCAAGCTCTAAAGTGTGACCAGAGGGTAATGGGGTCGAGAGGAGGTTCCATTCCGTTGTTGTGTGGTCTCTTTTGAAGTTCAAGGTATACATTTTTTTTTTAACTCTTAACAGAAAAAGATCCTTTACTAATAGACAAACGAGTTTTTGAAGTTCAAATGAAAGCTAAAGGAGGAAAAAGATAAGCATGAAATTACAAGTTGTATACTACCATACTATTATTCTCCTTACTAGGAAAAGAAAATGATAGAATCCGACTATTTGAGGGTCATTGGGTAATTTTGGCAAGGATGGGTCTTGACTTTGAGGTCAAGGAGGGTTCTTTTTCCTATTCAAGAGATGAAAGAAGTGTTCTCATAAACTCAAAGAATTGAGGGTCAAGTGAAATTTACTTATCACATTATGACTATTCTCGATGATGTAGTAGAAATAAAATACTGTACCTCCTCTACTGTTTCCTGTGGGCACTTTAAAAGTTTAAATTCCATATATTTTATTCGATATGGGAATTTGTCAGATTCTATAAGAACAAAGTCAAAATTCCAAAGAATATAAGCACTGGATAAAGCACAAGTTTTTTTTAATTCTTTTCCATCTTCCATCTCGAAATCGAACTCTAGAAAACTGAACTAATTAATGAAATTAGAAATTACGCTTCTCAATTAAACTATTGCAGATTGCAGTTCGTGTTCGTAAATATAGCTTCTCGTGATTGAAATCATGATTTCTTTCAATTTTTAAGATAAGATTCAGCAGAAGTTGCCTGGCTAATTAATTCCTGCGTAAGGTAGAACCTGCAGGTTCAACGACAACAAACCCAATTATTGTGGGGTCTGGAAAAGATAGTGAGTACGCAGACCTTGCCCCTACCATCAGAAGGTAGAGAAGCTGTTTCAGAAAGATTCTTGGCTCAAGGAAAGATGCAAAAGAAGCAGTAGCAACATACAGTAACTTCAACAAGATTACAACAAAATCGAAGCGAAAGAAACAACATGCAGTAATAGAAAATTTCGGAAAATAAGAAAGAACAAAACTAACACTAATACTACTAATATGGACAAGGAAGTAAGATATGTTGTGTTATCACTGAGCAATAATTTTGGAATGCCTAATAGAGCTGTTAATGTCAAACGAATTTAGGCCTTATAGATAAAATAACCAGATTTTAATGAAGACATTAGGAAACCATATATATATGATTGCAAATCCTCTAAGAACAAGATAATTACATCGTGACATTTATTTCTCTCACCCGGCCCCTATTGCTAGAGGTAAAGTCAACTGGTAATTAATCGTTATGATACTGAAAACAAGTGGTCAAGTGGAAGCTTATGCAATTAATTCTTAAGAAGATTGTAAATGATTCAGTAATAAGTGGATGATGTTAGCGATCAAATTAATTTGGATCCTCAAGTTGTTTCTTTTAATTAATACAGGTGATTTTGATTAACGAATATACGGTTCAACGACGAATTCATGAGATCTGTGACTGTGAGTAACTTCATTTAATTTGAACTCTTTTGTGAATATTCCGGTGTCTTTGAAGATCAAGTAAAACTAACAAGACGCATCATCCACTCACTACTGAATCTTATGTTTAATGAAGTTTGAATGAAACAAATGTTTAATCAAGTTATATTGTTGCTTCTTCACCTTTGTTTATGTGAATTTTCATTAATAAACTTTTATTATTTAAAAAGTTTTGTCTATCTAAATTTCGCAAAATATAGCCCGATCAAGCCCCATATAAAGGAGAAAGGTCAGGGGTAGAAGGGATAAAAGAGAGATGCTTTCTATCTATCAAAAATAAATATCCGCTTATTGTAATGACAGAGAATAACATCTTTTGTAAAAATAGAATAACCTTTAACATATTTTTAATTTGTTATTCTAATATATTTGAAATGTTCGTGTATCTCCACATTTACTTGTTATTATAGTAGTATTATTTTTTCTTTCTAAGTCCTACTTATCCGTTCAAGAAATATATCCAAATGGATATAGATGAATCATTTGACTCAACTCCAGCTAATTAATTAATTTGTTGTAAATAACGGAGGGAACATCTAATAGATGTGTCGCCCCCAATACCTTGGTTAGTGGCAATGGATTTAATTCTCTTTTTTTAAGGCACTTCCGATTTTTACTTTGCATTGTCATTTCATTCTTCCTTCATCTAGAAATCAATCTACTGCACACTTATAAAAATGACATGTAAAGATTCACTTTACAATCAGTATTATTTGAATAAATTGTGTGATAGAAGGTGCCACCAGACTCGGAGGTAAATTTTACGGAGTAGTGGTTAGATTGACTATGTTGTATGGGGAGTGTTGTCTGGTCAAGAACACCCATGTCCTTCAAATGGAAGTAGCAGAAATGGGGATGCTGAGATTGATATATAGACATACCAGGGGAGATAAGATTAGAAATGAAGTTATCCGAGACAAGTTGGAGTAGTCTCTGTGGAGGATAAGATGCGGGAAGCTAAGTTGGAATGGTACATGCATATGAAGGGGAGAAGTGTAGATGTCACGGTGAGGAGGTGCGAGAGGTAGCCCATGGTGGGGCCGAAGAGATGGTTGAGGTAGGCCTAAGAAGTATTGGGGAGAGGTGATTAGGCATGACATGACACAACTTTAGCTTACTGAGGACATGACCCTTGATAGGAAGATTTGTATGTTGGAAATTCGGGTAGAAAGTTGGTAGATAGGCGGGAGTGTCTCATTTTCATGTTGGTAGTATTAACATTAATCTCTTATTTTCATACCTTCTTATACGTAGGTTTCTTTTACTATATGTTGATCCTTTCGCTTTGATTATTCTATCATCATGTCATCTTATCTCCTAATCTTGTTGGTGTTACTTTGTGTCATGTCTACTTCTTTTACTTTTACCTTGAGCCGGGGTTCTATCGAAAACAACCTCTCTACCTTTACAAGGTAGGGGTACACATTAGCCCTCCTAGACCCCACGTTGTGGGCTTACATTGGATTTTTTTTTTTTTGGTTGTTGTTGATTTAACACTTCTTTGATTGATGTTTGGTTATAATTCCATATTTTTATTGCATTACTTCCCTTACATTTTGGTATTTTGATAATTAATTGTGTAACATTTGAGCTTAATTAAGGTATTTTTATGTGTAGGATCATTGAAATGCATACATGAATAAAAGTTGTATAAAAAAATGTCGAAGACACAAGAAAATAGCATGAAAAGGAGAAAATCGGAGCAAGGCAAAGATAACTCGCCCCAGATCTCGCCCCGCCTAGCTTAAGGCGAGCTCAACCTGGCCTCACACCAGGCCTCGCCTGGCTTATGGAGCGCTACAGACCAGGCCTCTCCTGGCTTAAGGCCTGGTCCCCCCAGTCCGCGAATACATTATTTCATACTCAGTTTAGACTTGGAGATTTCTACCCTAGCCTAGAAATACTCCCTAAACATGTCTAAGAGGGGGATTGGACGTTTCTAAGAGGGAACTTTGGACCAAGAGAGAGCATAGAGCCGCCGTGCAGGTCGGATTTTATCTTTTCTTTTACCAAATTTAGTAATTTTTATGTTTATTTGAATGATTTATTATTTTGCTACCATGTCTATGTGGAGCTAAACTTTGCGTTCTAGGGTTGTGGTTGTCATGAATATTGACGTTTTTTAAATACGTCTTTGTAGATTCGAGTTATCATCTTTGATTGTTTCTCTGATTCTGTGCATAATTGCTTAATTGTTTGGCCAGCAGTTGGGTTCTATTTACAATCTATGCTAAGCTTGAGAAAGCCGTGTTTAGATTAGAGTAGAATTAGAGAGAGCTTGTTTCTGGACCCGTGGCTCGGGAAAGATTTCGTGGTTAGGCAAGGAATATACCTAACATCCTTGCTTAGTTGAATGCCATATTCATTCATGATAGATTCAATACTATAGGAATATAGGGTTGATATATTGTGGATAGACGAATAGTAATGTGGGAACATGCTATTTATACAAACGATCAGGTCAACTAGGAATCATAGATAATTCGGATTAACAAGTGTAATTACGAACTCAATAGGATTGATAAACGGACCACAACCCTGGAATATTCACCTCCTCTTAGTAAAGTCCAAATCAAAACTTCTTGCGTTCTCTTTACTTTGGTGATTACTTGTTTAATTTTTGCAATAGTAGATAAATAGAAAAAGCGTTTCTCTTGATTAACTTGAACAGTAAATTGGTTGTAGTTAGCTTAGTTAACGATTAATCTAAGTCTCTATGGGTTTAGCATCCGACTTTTCAGTCACTTTATTACTTGACGGCCATGTATACTTGCGTGTACTTGGGGAACCAATAAGTTTTTGGCGCCGTTGTCGGGGACTTAGTTGTTGATTGTTTATCTAAGTTAAGCTTTTAATTGATTTTCCTTCAAGGTTTTCATTTTCTTATTTAGTTAATATTTATAATCTTTTTACATGGCATCTATAAACGAAAAGTGGTGGAATCGTAAGTATTCTTATTTTTGTGATCCTTGTCCATATTGTAGAGGATCCCACTTATGGCAACAATGTGAAAATATTTCGAGGAGCGAGTTGTGTGCACCATCTCAATCATGTACTATTTATGGTGGATTTTGGAATAATTGTCCTAAGTATTGTTATCCTACCCCAATCCCTTGCTATGCTGATTCTGATAATGCTTGTGAGTTTGACAAGAGTAACGAATTGGATAATGTAGAACATGATGTTCACAATCTGGATATGCACAAGCAATTATTAGATAATATGGAGGTCTCTCAGGGAATATTACAGATGAGATGAGACACTTAATAAAAGTAAGAGCTGAACTGGGATAAGAGATTGATAAATTTGGCATGGCTATTCATGACTTGGAGGCTCAATTGAGTGCAAAAGTTGATGCGTCTAACGCACAACAAATTAGCCAAATTGAGTAGCTAAAAGTGGAGCATGAATCATTCAATCATGTTTTTGTTGCTTATGCCAATGTTGAGCGAAGTACACTAGAGTCATGTGAGAAAGCAGATAATGTTATAT